GTCTCTCTAAAAATTATATATCTAAACCTAAACCCAGGTTAATTACTCGAAAAATTCAAGGCAGTCTAGCCCAGCACGAAACCATCCTCTTTTATACCTGCATGTTCCAAGTCCAAACTTATTATGAATGATGTTCTCTCCTTGAACTATTGGGCCGGAGCTAATTCATCTTCACGAGCTATGAATCTACAACCAAGAAAAGAGAAGCTTTCAAAAATATGAGATGATAGAGAGAGGCCCAACATAGGTGCATATACGTAACTGATGACATGATACCATGCAATGGACTTGATGGTTCCGGCATTTGAACGATCGACAGTGATTAAGATTGGGGTTTGAATCCGTCCCAGATGCTGAACACATTCAGGAAAACGACCTTCATAGACAAATCGATCTCTCATTGTCCTTTCCAGGGAGGAAGGTATGAATGCTATCGTTGGCGGGTTGACATGCATGCCCAATGTCATTGTCGTCGTCGTCTATTTTCGGGGTTTTGAAGTTTCTTGGCAGGCTGAGACGGGTCCTACGGAGCATGAGCGCTTACTCTTCTGTATTGATGTGATGCATGAAGAAGGGGTTGCGCTTGGTTGTTTGCTTACTGCAGAAGTTGTCAGCTTCTTGTTTTACCTAGTATAGTTGTCGTGGACGGTTCTTGTTGCGAGGAGTCTTGTTGCGAGGACCCGTCTGTTCTATTATATGCACAAGGTGCCTTGTACTCGTCTTGTTATTTCCACCCGACCACAGTTGAGAGACATCGATCCATCTCTACATATAGAGACGCTCCAAACTCCCGCACCTCGTCACTTTTAGCTTGTTGGATCTTTCGCGCATTCCGTTGAGAGAAGAGAGAAGCAAAGAGAAGAGAGGATGGAAAGTAAGCATGGGGAGGGAGTGAGGAACAAGCAGGTGATATTCAGGGACTTCCTCGCGAAGGGAGCCTTCCCTAAAGAGTCGGACATGGAGGTGACTGAATCGACGATTGAACTGACGAGGGCCGTCGCTGAAGGCTCCAAGGGAGTGTTGGTGAAAAATCTCTACCTCTCCTGTGATCCTTACATGAGGGGTCGCATGCGGGAGCTCACTGACTCATCTCAGAGCTATATCGCCTCCTTCCAACCGGGTTTGGTGAGCCCAGCTCAACTCTTCTTTTTGTTTTGAAATAGAAGCAAGAATGACGAGAAGATGGAATTCTCTGTTGATGAACTTGCTCTGGGATTGATTCGTGTTTTGTCCCAAGTGAAAATTGTGGCATTTTACATGAGTTTCTGAGGCATTTGACTTTGCATGCTTTTGCTTGCTACTGTTCTTCGATAGTTGGTCTCAGGTTGGCTAATTAGTATTTCAGGACTGGTTATGTGCAGCATTTTCGTCATAACAGTGATTATGTCCAAGGGTTCCTGTTTATGGTTGAGTTCTTGTAACCTCTGAGGTGGGAGCAGATTCGAGGCGCCTTTGAAAGCATACCTATGGTTCTAAATGTGTTCCAATTGTTCCCAAAAATGTGTTGGAGGATTTGGTGAGTTGAAAGAACCGAGTTTATGCTTGTAGGTAGAGAAACTTTCATGTTTTACATTTGGACGGTTTGATAAAATCATGTTTAATGAGCGATGCGGCTTGCTTTTATTGCTTCCATTCATGTGTATTAGGATGTTCACTGATGAAAGCAGCTTGTGTGGGACATAGAACAAAGAGATATATAATTGATTGAAATGAAACAAGCATGAACACAACTCTGCAATGAGCGGAGTTTATGCAGGATCCATAAGCGTTGTGTTTGTGTTCTAATCTTCTTCCTTGATTGATAAATCAGCGCCTTTGGAATCATAGACTTTGCACATGCATCGCTTCGAAATTTGTGTTCACTAAATGCGTTACCATGTGAAAACACATCTATGCAGCCTGTTACGGGACTTGGAGTGGCAAGAGTCCTGGAATCTGGGCATCCGAATTTCAAGAAAGGCGATTTGGTTTGGGGCATCACGGGATGGGAGGAGTACAGTCTACTTCCCGCGCCAGAGACTTGCTTCAAGATCGAACACACCGATGTTCCTCTCTCTTACTACACCGGTCTTTTGGGTACGCTCTTTGATTATCCACCGTATTTGCTCTTTCAATGTCGATGAACTCTGGTTTTCCCCGAAAGTCTTGCTGGTGCACACTTTCAACAGTTCAATTAAAAGTTCTGCAGCACTGTTAGTTGAGTGAACTATGCAGCAAGCGTGTAAGTCAGGGAATTTCTTGATCTAATTAGTGACTTTCCATGAGAGGTCTATACATTTCCCTCAGGCTAGCTTCTCTTCCGGATATATATGGTTGTCTAGTGATTGTTGGCCATAGCCATATCGCTTCTACTCTTTAGCTTTAGCAAAATTTTGATACTCAGTCTACTTTCTACAAACCTGAACTCTGCAGGCATGCCGGGCCTGACGGCTTATGGCGGGTTTTTCGAGTTATGCTCCCCTAAGAAAGGAGAGAACGTTTTTATATCGGCTGCATCCGGGGCAGTTGGTCAGCTTGTTGGCCAGTTTGCAAAGTTGTTAGGTTGCTATGTTGTTGGCAGCGCCGGCAGCAAAGAAAAGGTAATCTCCTCACATTCATCCGACATCTCGTATTTCCTCGAACGATAGTTGTTTAGGCAACATCCACCTCCGCCATGGTGCTAATTTGGTTTTCCGAACACGTTTAGCATCTGCGATAAACAGATCTTTTCGGTACTAGGCAAACATTTATGTCCACATGAACTTTAAGACTTCAATCAGTCATCTAGCCATAAATCATATCTGGAAAACTCGAGGTATTACAAGCGTGGCGGGCTTTCTCAAATTTGAGAACACTTTTCAAGAGCGTGATCGCCCTGTCGGATGCATATCCTCATCATTCCGCTAAAATAATTGAAAAAGTACGCCCACGCCCTTTGTTAGCTAGTCTCTTCATTTCCTTCTTTACTTCTGCAAAATAGGTCGACTTGCTGAAACAGAAGCTTGGATTCGACGAAGCTTTCAACTACAAGGAAGAATCAGATCTGGATGCAGCACTGAAAAGGTTAGTTCAACATGCCAATGATGATTGAGTGAATCAACCACTCTTACACGTATGCGCACGATCGTGAAGCCGGCTTGAGTTTACCTTTTCCATCTCGAAATCTCTAGGTACTTCCCTGAGGGGATCGACATCTACTTCGAGAATGTCGGGGGAAAGACATTGGATGCGGTGCTACTCAATATGAAGCTTCATGGCCGAATCGCGGCATGTGGAATGATCTCGCAGTACAACCTCGAGCAGGCCGAAGGCGTGCACAACCTGATGCAAATTATCGCGAAGCGGGTTCGAATGGAAGGTTTCAACGCGCTCGATTACTATCATCTCTATCCAAAGTTCCTGGAGATGGTTTTGCCTCAGATCAAAGAGGGACGGATCGTGTATGTGGAGGACGTTGTAGAAGGGCTCGAGAACGGTCCGGCGGCTCTGGTCGGGCTGTTTTCCGGCCGCAATGTCGGGAAACAGGTGGTCCTGGTTTCGCGCGAATGAGTCACTTGTTGTGCCTTTTCCACTGGCACGGTCTCTTTGGTTTGTGTTTCCGAAAGGATATGTTTTCTGTTCCATTGGCATAGTCTCTGGAGTTCAACTATTTTTCGGTTTTTAAAGAAAGGTCTAGCAATTGATCGTAACTTATCGATAATTAAATATTTCGCCAATAAATAAGAAATACCATTAATTATTTTGATTTATATTATTGGATCCACGATTTCGTGCTTTTAAATACGTTCAAATGCCGATTATGGTCTATAACCTATAGCGTATCTTCATTTCCGGCCCCTATTTTCGAGGAATCTAATTGGCAAACCAAAGTCGCCTTTGTTTTTTATTACATCGACTAAGTAAATCCTTTCCGAGGTGAAAGAGATCACGAGAAACATTACGTTATATTTATTTATTTATTTCATACAAATTATCTTAACCATAAAAGGATATTTTAATTATGATAGGATGTTTTTTGTACGAGCCATAGAGTTTGTGAATGATTTTGGTCGACTTTCGAGAGAAAGAAAAATGATATTGGGGGCGTTGTATATGAAAAAGCTACGAATCGATCTATAAAAAAATCCCTATTTTAAAAAAGCAGGGTTGTGTATCCATGTTCGCGTATTATAAATCGGTTTTAGTATTTCGAATCAAGTCAAACACTATATTTTGATTAATCACGTTATAAAATTAATTAGTATTTTATTTTGCGCACAAACAATGTAACCTTTAATTTCAAAATTGGAATTACCCAAATTTTCATGCATTTTTATTTAGGGTTAATACCACGAAAAACCCCAAACTGGTGCACTTATGACAATTTTACCCCAAACTAATTTTTTGACTACCAAAAACCTCAAACTGGTATACCTGTGATAATTTTATTCCGAACTATTTTTTTAATCACCAAAAACCCCACACTGGTACACTTGTGATAATTTTACCTCGAACTAATTTTTTGGCTACCAAAAACCCCAAACTGGTACACCTGTGATAATTTTACCCTAAAAAATTTTTTTGACCACTAAAAACCCCAACTGGTACATTTGTGACAAATTTACCCTCCGTTAGTGTCTGTTAAATTAAATTAATATCACGAAAAATTACAAATTTGTAAACTTAACTCCAAACTAGTACACCCGTGAACTATCACGTGTCATCGAACTTAGCAATTTGATAGAAAAATTTAACGGAAATCAACATGGGGTAAATTTGTCATAGATATACCAGTTTGAAATTTTTTGGTGGTCAAAAAATTAGTTCGGGATAAAATTATCACTTGTGTGAGATTTTTTATGGTCAAAAAATAGTTCTTGATAAAATTATTATAGGTGTACGAATTTAGAATTTTTTGTAATCAAAAAAATAATTTAAAGTAAATTTATTATGAATGTATAAGTTAGTTTGAGGTTTTTCGTCGTATTAACCTTTTTATTCAACGGTCCTTTTATACCTCCGATTTTTTACTCCTCCATTTTCAAGCATAGAAGAGCGAATTGCCGAGCGCTCCTGCCAAAGCCCTTCCCTCCTCCGCCACCGACCAGCGCCGCCGCCTCATACGCCCATCGACGGCCGCCATAGACCGGCGACTCCGCGGCAACCGCAGTCGCACTCCACGCCGCGGCCACACTCCACCGACCCCAGCCACCGCAGCATCGGCTGAGCGCTCGCTGCCACCGCTGCCAGTCCCCGAGCCTGTCACCTCGACGCCGCCATAGACCGGCGACCCCGTGGCAACGGCAGCCGCACTTCACGCCGCGTAGCAGTGCCGCCACAATCGCCGCGGCCACGCTCCGCCGACCCCGGCCACCGCAGCATCGGCTGTGCGCTCGCCGCCACCGCTGCCAGTCCCCGAGTCTGTCACCACCTCTTTCTCTCTCTCTGTGTCTCGTTTAAGTGGTTTTCATACAGCGACTCCGCGATCAACTCCTATGAAACTTAATATTTCAATTTTTGCATATCCATACAATTGAACCGCGACTCTGATGAACCGTTTTTTGGGATGAATTGGCCCTGCGCGGCGGCCATGCCTAGTTGCTGTTCGGTAGGGCAGAATGAGTAGCGGAATGCGAAGTAGGGTGGAGAGTCTTGGCCATTTTGGTCAGCATCAGTAACGCAGCTGATGCTTCGACTGATTTTGCTGGGCAATGTGTGTGACCTTTGGATGGTTTCATAGAGTAATGCTGGGTATGCTAAGATCGGTCTACTAAATCGGTATGTTTAAGTGATGTTAGTCGTGACGAACTGTAAATGGCTTTTAATACGAGTTTGACACATCACGTTGTACTGATTAAGTGAGCTGGACTTAGTATGCAAGTGCCATTCAGTTAGCATGCAAGCATTATTTCGTCAACAGGACTTAGTGCGTTTTCCGTGGTGTAGTTTATTACTTATCAATTATTAGTATGGGGGCTCTTGGTTGTCGTCATCGTTGAGGTGTTTTTGTTTTTGGCATGATGACTCTTAGGGGAGTTCGACGATGAGAATTCTTTTGGGTGTTTTGTGATGATTGGACTGTGGTTACTGCGGGTGCTCCTTTGTAGTTGACTCAGAAGTTGTTCTTCCACAGGACTTGGAGATGGAGTAACCCCTAAATTTGTGAGGTTGAGGCAAGAGGACCCCCACCGATGCGGAGATCATTGGCAATATCCTCCCTGGTGAGCCCTTTCCGTTTCATTCTTCCCTTACTTTCTTAATTGCTTCTGCATAGATGGCCTTGTATCGTTTGAGGTTTCTCTGGGTCTGAGTAATTGAGACTTGAGTTATTTTTGGGCATTGACGCTGTTAATAATTTCTCCAATAAAACTTAGTTTATCTCGCTGTGGTTTTCATCTCCACTGTCCTTCCTGATTATATCGACGTAGTTCTGTTGAGTTCTCTGTTCCTTGAAACCCATATTATAGAGTACTAGCATTTGCAATGACTTGTTGAGAACTTTTCCCTGTCATTACATTTTTTGAATCATTGTCGATTTCCAGAGGTTCAATTTGATGGTAATTTTCTTCGTAATTGGCTTATGAGGGGCAAAAGAATGCCTGATGTGGATCAGATTTGTCTTTGGACTGATTAATGATACATTTGAGATTCTAACATATGCTGATTGCTTTGCACAGGTTGGACGTTTGACTCAATATGGAGTGGTTCGTGTCGAGAAACTTGGTTCCAGTTACAGTACAATGGTCCAGTCTCATAAATATGGACATTGCACTGGTGGAGCAAAAGAGTCATCATTAAAGGTGCTTATTAAATCATTTTTCGTGTGCTCTGATTGGTAAAAATAGCCCACAACTCCTTAGGTTAACTTGCGCTTGGAAAAGAAGTAGCAAAAATGATAACATAAGAAAAACACAAGTTCTGGCCTATTTCTTTTTAAGGGAGGGCGGAGGCTGTCCCCTCCAGTCAATGTGTCCTTGTAGGTCCATTAATAATACCATGTTTTTGGAGAATGGGTTATCGCTTGTCTAAGGAATTCGGGTCTTTTTCGATGGAGGTTCTGTTTCTTGTGGATATGATTCCATTATTGATCCAATATGTTCCTTTAACCTTAGATTTGCAGGTGCCTTTTTAACTCATTCTTTGCATTTACTCTTTCATGTTCTTTGCATTTACTGCTTTGGTTGATGCATCTTTACTATACCATCTACAGAAATATACAGCAGCTACTGCATCTTGAATGTGCCTTGTAAGCTTTTCATTTAACAATGGAGAAGGATAGGATTGTACAGGTGAAGTTTGATGTAGGCCTATTGCTATTAAGAGTTTTTCTAGAATCCCTTTGTGCTTTTTAATGTAAGTCACAGTTCAATTACATGTGCTCCATGGCTTGCTTGGTGCGACTCGTACGGCTTTCATCCAAAATCCTTGAACAAGTTTTTCTCCGTGGTCCCTCTCCATGATAATGAATGACATCTGCTGTAACTGTATATCTCCTCAATCTCCTCGTTAGATAGATGGCCTTCTCAGTCAACCTTCCTTACACCACTCATATGGAATCCTCTTTTGTGGTTTAAGATATTTGAAGGCTGCATTTAGAAAAGGGTCACTGCTCTCCTTTGATGGTCATTTGAAGACAAAAGCATTTGTTGACACAGAGTGGGTTAGGTCTGTTGATGTTAGAAGATTCGCTTCTGGCATTGGCAGTAACCTAGTTGATTTGTGAAGTAAAAAAGAGTTGGTTACTTTTAGATCATGTGCAGATGCTGAGTATGCAGTTGTGACAGGAGATGTGGTCGACTTCTTTTGCCTGAGAAAATTAGTTCAAGATGTAAGACTAAATGTTGAGCAACTGACCTTACTCTATTGTGATAAAAAGACGGCTGCTATCAGCATCAGTCACAGTCTGGTTCAATGTGTTAGAGCAGAACATATTGAAATTAACAAGAATTCCTCAATGTGAAACTAGAGAACAGGCTCATTTGTAAATCTATCGTGAAATCCATAAAGTGACTGGTATATCTTTTTTATTCCCGGTTTGCAAGATGGGCATGGAAAATATCTACCCTCCATCTTGAGGGGGCGTATCGAGAGTTTTTTCTTTTTGGTGGCTGACTTGTAATATTAGGTAGTGTCATGTCATATTCATTATCAAAACACATGAACTGGTTGTAACATGTATTGTACAACTCACCTTTCTACGCTCTTCTTTCTTCTTTCAATACCCAAATCACATCAAGAAAGTATTCATTTATAAGCTCCCGTGGCATATGCAGATTTTAGTGGTCTATTGCAAATTTTTAGAATTGTTGATGTATGGATGGATTTGTATGCGCAGGATGTTACCTGATGAATAGCCTTCCAGTTGTATTCTTCAACTGAACCATTTTGAAACTTCATTGCAATCATATCTCTCTTAAGTTTCTTTTTTCATAGTTGCTATTGTTTGACTTGAACTTAGTGATTGTATTGCAGGAAGAGGGTGATGCTCATGCTGTCTTACATGGTGGGCAGGAAATAGAAAGATCACAGAAGCCCAGGATTGGAGAAAATGTTTCAAGAAAGGATCGGTTCAATTTTCTAGTGAGCACAGTAAGTATTAATGGGTGGAATTAGTTCTCGAATATGAAACTTTGTAGAACGCTGCTCTGTGAATGACGCTAATATGAGATCTATTCCTTTTATCTGCCATATATTAGGATAGAAAATGACATAACCACGAAGTTGACTGATAAGTAGAATCTAATTATATCCCAGTTAATTTTGGAGTGCGTTTAAGTATAATAGTGTGAAAACTTGTCATACATTGAAGGTAAATTGGCAAGAAAACCAAGTGATGAACATCTCATGTCACTTTGTTAATTGAGCTAATTGAAGCAGCCCGAATAACCATGCAAGCTGAGAGCGATCATCATTGGAAATAGTTGCACTATAATCAAGTTTTCGTGGAAATAGGCATTGTATTATCAACAACTCAAGAGACCTAATAGGTTTACGATTCTTCTTTTAGTTGATTTTGTAGTTTGATCTACCAGAATTAGAATACTATCAGGATTTTGATGAGTTTCTAATTTCTACTTGATGTAGAATTTGATGGGTTTCTATTTGTAATGGAATTAGGTTCTGGATCCCTATTGCTACTTGGAATAGGATTTTGAAGGGGTTTATTAAAACGATTCATCACGTTTATTGAAGTATCATAACTCTTATGCTTTTTTGAGTATTGCGATGCGGTTTTATATTTAATAATGATGCTTAAGATGTGGTGTTTATGAGCTTTATGTGTGACATTTAAAAGAATTTATTGTACTTCATTTAGGCATCGTGCTCAAGACCTCCCAAGCATCATAATCTAGGGTTCTTAAGCATCATTTCAAGTAATGAATTTCATTGCACAACTCCATAGTAAACAACTGCTAAAAACTCGAACTTTATTATTAATCTAAGAATATCATATCTAAAGATTCTGCTATAACTTATTCCAAGTTGAAAAGGGATACTTATATAGAAAATGTAAATCCTACTTCAAATAAAAATGAGAAACCTAATTTCCTATTTAAAATAGAGAAGGAAATTGATTAAATTCTGAATGACTTGGATCCCATCCAACTGATAAGACTGTTAATTCAATTAGTATGTTGTGCTATTAATCTATTAAAACTCTTACTATTGAGGCAAACGTCCATCATCATCAAGACTTGAAATTCAACCTTTGAATTACTATCACATTGTTTCAGTTTGTGTGCTGCATCACCATGCTCTGTACCCTCCCTAATTCTTCTTTCCAAGATCCACATTCCATTGATGTTATTTTTTTTTATTCTGTTTACAATGACCAGCTGCCAAAGTGCTGAGCTGCAACTAGTAGCTCTTTATTGCATAACTTCTTGCTCAATTTACTTTGTCATATACCTAGTCTAGCTTCCCTCGGTAGTAACTAGCTTTGTCAATCACCCTCAAAAGGCTCTGCTTTAATTTAAAGTCCATTTGACTCCATCTTACCAACACCCATGCCTAATTAGAACCCCCAAATAATCTTCGATGTCTGAAGCCATTGGGAAGGGTTTCGGTTTGCAAATGCACTCTTGGTTTTGCGTGGCAGCTTAATCTTCTTCCACTTTTTGACATAATTGAAGACTTTTTACAGACATTTCTTCAGGTATTATACTTGTGCGTTTGCTTATTACTTTACTCCTTAAAATTAACAGCTTCTTGATCTGAAGGACAGCAAACAATCAGTTTATGGTGCTCTTGATGCCTGGGTTGCATGGGAACAAAATTTTCCTCTTGCTTCGCTTAGGAGGGCATTGCTTGTTCTTGAGAAAGAACACCAGTGGCATAGGATAGTCCAGGTAATCTCACTAGAATTTCCCTGAGAAACATTCAATGCTGTGAGGTACTAAATTGTTAAATTTTGTACTATGAATGTGTTGTTGACCTTTGTTTCAGAAGAAGTGTGAGCTTTTGCTGTTACTTTTTATTTCCCTTCTTTGAAATTGTGGCACTCTAAAAGTAGTGCACTATGAGCAGTCTGTCTGACTTTAGACCTGGTTTTGCCTTGCACTTGTAGGTAATTAAATGGATGCTGAGCAAAGGACAGGGAAACACAATGGGAACATATGGAATGTTAATCCGGGCTCTAGACATGGACCATAGAGCAGAAGAAGCGCACAGATTTTGGGTGAAGAAAATTGGTAGTGATCTACATTCTGTACCATGGAGTTTATGCACCAGCATGATAGCGATCTACTATCGAAACAATATGCTGGAGCATCTTATAAAGGTAGTAATACTGTGGAAGTTAAAATTCACATGCTTAAAGTAAAAGGACATTATGGTTATGAAGTGAAACTCTGACTGACGAGCTAATTTTTTACAAGACTATGGTAGTCTCTGACAAGAAGATTTTCAGAAATTCTTGAATTCACAAGATGTTTGGGGCAACATCCTGATAATGATAATGCCTACTAAATCTATGAGGCCTCGGTGAAGTTCTGAGAGGAAATTGTATGCATAAGCATGGAAAAATAAGTCTTACATTAAGTTTCCTGTGAACTACTTAAAAGAAGAGCTTCTGCAGCTCAATCACATATTAAGAAGGTTCATATGAAAATGATTTTTGGATTGTGTCCTCCCCTCCTTCTCTCTCAAATACCATGTTATGCTACACCAAGCTGTCATTTCCATTTCGGAACAACTATCAAAGAATATTTAGAGTTCGAAAATTCAGTGGTTTTTGAATAGTTACCCCATTGGCTATCTATTTTGTTTATCTTATGTTTAGATGATTATGATTAATTAGTCCATCTCTAGCTTGTTAGGAGCTGGCATTTCTTTTTGTTTTCCCACAATTCCCTGAACCTTATGAATTTTACCTTGTTGAATATGTAGCTTTTCAAAGGCCTTGAAGCTTTTGATCGGAAGCCACCAGAGAAGTCAATAGTTCAGAAAGTGGCAGATGTATACGAGGTTTCAGGCCTAGTCGAGGAGAAAACGAGACTTTTAGAGAAATATGATTATCTTTTCACAGAATCACACAAAGGCTCCGCCAAATCCACTTCAAAGAAGGGGAAGAAATCAGGTCAGTTATCTAAGAATATAGTATTTACCATCCCCATACTCAAATAAAGAAGTCATATGCAAATCTCACAGATCAATTTCTTTGCGAAATGAAAACAAATGATGTTGATTGGAGCCAATATGTGACGGTAGTGAATTTATCATCTAGAATCTAAAAGAAAGAATACGGTGTTGGTTCATGTATGTGAATTCAAAGTTGTGGATGGGATTTGTTTCCCTACCAATGGAGTTATGATGTCTAATATTGGTTTGATATTAAAATTCTATGCATACTGTTGCACAAATTCCCTGAAAAGTTCGTCTGATACATGTTCTTTGAGAATTCAACATTGATGGTTCTGTTGAGTTGTTTTCCTTTGGAAACTTCTTTGAGCATATAGCATTTCTCATCTCTTTCATTTCAGAAAGCTGGACCTGCCATCCTTTTCTGGCATCGCAATTTAACCCATGTATCGTCTCTTAATATTGTCCTTCAGGGCAGAGGAAAAAGACAGACCTGCCATTATAGTCTTTGAAGAAGACAGGCACAAACAACCAGGAATAAAGAGAAGAATGGGATGCCTTTAGATGGTTGTGGCATTTTAAAGCTGAACCTGCCGTCCTTTTCCAGCATTGCAATTTTCTTCTGCCGAGCATTTCTTGGTGTCCTTTCTCATGTGATATCCAATGGCCAAACCTTTTGATGCTTGTGGTATTTGGAAGCCTTCTAACAAGAAGAAAAGGAAGACATGGCGATGAAATGGGTTCGGTCTTTTACACACAAGGAAGGTAATCGAAAATGGCATTGAAATGATTTTTCCGTCTATACCAGAAATTTGCTTGATCCGGTTTTAGATATGAAGTTGAGAAGTATCAAAGTCGTCTTGAAGCAAGTATATTGGTAGAACGAACGTGTTATGTGGGTACTGTCATCGACTTACATCATTTCATAGTAAAATTAGAACCTTCATCCCTCCGGAGCGGGCGAAGGTCGGTCGCGACAATTATGCTTTTTATTATAGCATATGAGGCGGTTATGGGAGTGAATGTAGTCTGCAATATTCTATTTGCCGTTGTCGTTGGATGTAAAACAGAAATTTTCTGGCTCATTAGCAAGTTGTTGGGTTGGGTACAATTCATGCCACGTTCCGACATATCTCGGTTAAATTTCCACTATGATGTTGTGTCCGAGTTGTATTAGCACGTTGTGTCGAAAATGACCACACCAGATCAGCGCGGCAATTCTTCCTGTAAGTTGCACGTGACACGAGAACTTCTAGCAAATCACGCAAGAAAACCACGACACCAAGCTCACCGTACGATCTGGGCACCGAACCCAAGATGCTACTGTCATCATTGATCACAAAGGTTGACATGAGTTTTGGAAGATTAGCCAAGGCAAAGGTAAAGAACCTACATGCAGTGAGAAACTCGAACATTCCTATTTCAAACTTTAAGGTGCCCAAACTTCATGGCAAAATGCACTAAGGTATCTACTCGATTTCCCATGTATTTTAATTGAAGGTATCACATGAACACAAAGTTTATAATTGTTTCAGAGCTACTACAACCGTTACTTACAAGAATCGTAGAACTAAATATGCTATTTCGGTGTTTTTAGTATAGTGCTCGAGCGGCACGCAAGTTTGAATATGCTGCTCCCTCCCGTACGTCATGAGATGTCTTGACGATAATAAAAATGCAATTCCTTGGATTTGGCCAAAATCAGAGGAAACATGAACTCATTTTGATTATCAGTGTTCTAAAGCACTTCGAATAGAGATAGGTGAATCTAGCACAGATCCCCTGGATATCAGATCATGGTTCAAGAATAAAACAATGACTGTTATATCATCATGAAAATGCCGCCGAACCTCCTTGTCGATTTTGCGAAGATCTGAATAACGCATTTCTCGCTTTCTTGCGGCTTCATACAGAGCAGCCTTAATTAACCTTTTGGCACTTCCCTGAAAAAAAAAAAAGAAGAGAAACTTGCCCATAAATACTCAGGAAGATAAGATAAAACTAAAGATAGACTGCATCAGAATGCCTAGTAATGTATACTTCATGCAAACTAATGAGAAGAAGCAATCTCAATGCTCATGCAAAAACTGTCGCAACAAAAAGTTCGTCTCCACAGAAGAAAAATGGCCACGAAAATTGTACACAGAGAAGGTCTTACCGCCCGAGGATGACTGTGGACAATCTCCACAGCTTTCTCATTAGTCAAATGTTCCCACAGGCCATCAGATGCAAAAATAAGAAAAGTATCATTTGGATGAATAGGGTGAGAGGTAATTGCCGGATTGGCAGTTAAAATTGGCATATTCAAAGGCTGAGGAAGTCTGAATTTTGGATTAAGCGGTTCCCTGTTGAACCGTGCATGCTTCAGGTATACATCACCAATAGACCTAGAAACCTGCATCAAGTGCATTTAAGTGCATAATCAGATGAGGTTCATATCAGTTTTTTTCCCTTCAAAAGATGACATCAACAGCAAAAGGCAACCAATGACATCAATATCAAGTTGTACATAAACTCCACGGCTCAAATGTACTTATTGTTGGGATATTTAAATATTAAACCATACATTTATCTAACAGTTTAAGCTTTTAAAGCAGTTAGCTATGATCCCACAAGATTTTCACTTATCATTATAGAAGGTGAAATCAAGTTTCTCCTCTCCTCTGTGACTAACTATCAAATTTCTCTATTATTTTTTCCTATAAAAAACTAAATAGCATCTTCAGCTTCTTTTAAGCTGTAACATTCACAAACCACTTAATATAACTACCTTTCAGCTACTGGAAATATAGTACTCAATAATCTGAACCAACTTCAATCCTCAAAACAAATCCATAAACCCTTCCAAACATACTCATCATAGTAAATTTTTACCATTATGCATAAACATGTCAAAACTGACTTTAATTGTCAATTTGGGGTAAGTATGAAATGTGTAATTTAAACAGAATCAAATATTATCTAGTTTGTCATTGGTCATGAGGAAAGGAGTATCCACTTTGTCCCAGAATTTCCAATAGACAATAAATTTTCCAACTAAATTAGAAGCATGCAGTCTTGTCAAGTTTTCACTACATAAAAAGTCAAAAAACAACAAGATGACAACAGGGACAACAACAGCGACAAGTTTCATGCTCTAACCACCACGGAACCCGAAAACTTAAAATAGCAAAATTTACAGTGGTCCTCATTTAAAAGATTCCTTCACATGTCTACAGACAACATGTTTAGGTGTGCGAGAAGGCGGAGTCCAATGCTCTCATGCTACTTAAAGACTGATGGAATTAACGGGAAATCAGTCCAAAGAATCCTCCATTTGGAGGCTTAATTAAGAAGAGAAAGAGAGAGAATGGAGTGCATTTTTTCTCCATAAAAGATATAATTCATTTATAAAAATTAGAAGATGAAGATCTTCCAAATCGGGTTTACATTCGGATGTCATACCATAATTGACTGGAGATCAACTTCAGACATTGTTTAAAAATTAGAAAACTGGAGCTAGTGCAAGCTAAAACAAAACAAAGAGAAAATTTTCAATCAGCCAGCAGCACCGCATCAATTGTTGAGCTAGAGACAAATACCTGAATGAGGCCTTTCACTCTCCAAACTCCATGTCTGAGGACGACGATTTGGGGGTCATTTGGGTGTAGCTCTTTAAGTTCCTGCCTGACAGACTCAATATTTGCATTATGCTCTGCTGATAGCTGTATGGCAGCAATAACATCTGTATTGCCAACCTTCTTGCCTAATACTACCCGAGAGTCTCCAAGGCTTGCTACATAGAGGGTCCTCTGATATATGACTCCAACTAGACAGCAGGAACCAGAAGAAGCTATATTCGGCCGGGCACTCCATGACTCTGACACAAGGGCTGTAAACCCCTCCTCCGTTTCTTGAAATGCCCTTTGAATGGTGTCACATGTCACAACTCCCTGCGTTTCAGCTGATAATGCTGCACCAACACAAAGCCTAAGAGTGCCAAGATAAGAAGGCCCCTCCTTAAATAGCACAGTCACATAAAATAAGGGAAAGGACAAGATACGGCAAAAAAGCAATGGATGCCTTCCCATTAAACATGACTCCCACTGATCTTTCTCTCAATTCAAGTTCTAACTAGGCTATCATACAGGGATATCTAAGTTAAATTGAAGAACATGTGCACTCACGTGGGAGAGATGATTCAGATCCGGGATGCACTTAACTGTGCCTGATATAAGCTTCTGAAAGTTCAAAAAGCAGAAGTTGAGCAATATTCTATCTCAAATTCTCTACCAAATTGGACCCAGCTACATCCTACTCGAAATGAGTCTGCTAATCCAAAATTCACCGTGAATTGAACATAATTATGAGCCAAAACTAAAGTTAGTAAGTAAATGCATAAAATCTGCATGCAGTACTTCACAAAAAGTGTGCTTCACGAGCGCCCTAAAATTAGAAACAACAAATGGAGTCGATAGGAACGAAAATGACTATGCGTTCCAACCTCCATAAGCAAAACAATTAGAACATTCAGATTCCATCAAAGCCGGATATCTCTGCGTAACCGCCTAATCAAAAACATTCCGATCAATCAAAAGGCTCTAACCTCGGGGCTCATCAGGAAACGAACCTTGAAAGTGCCGAAACAGATGATCGCACACGTATCGAGCGGCATCGGGCCCGCCGTGACCGTCGTAAATGCCAACGAACGTCCCGAACTGACCGGACTCGATCTGGCTCTGATCCTCGAGCACCTGGTTAGCCTGCACGACGGCCATGGAGAAGTCGCCGGTCGCGCATCTCCCCAGGTCCCCGAACCAGAGCAACCCGTCCTTCCCTTCGCTCCCGAAGGATCCCAGGCCGCCGTCGCCGCCGCCTCCATTATCGCAGCCGAAGGGGTTCCAGCACGAGGAGAGCAGGCTCATCAGGGCCTCGAGCATCCCACATCGCTCGTGGACGCAAGCCCTGCTGGCCCCGATGCAGTAGTCGCCGCCGCCGTCCGATCCGGAGGTCTCGATGTCGTCGGAGCCCGCCAAGATCGGGGACTTTTCCAGGGCTCTCGGGGGAGGGTTTCAGCGGCGGAGGATCGGGAGGGTGAGCAGCAGGGAAGAGCTCACATCACTCGCTCTGTCGTCTAGAGAGAGAGAGAGAGAGAGATGGCGCGTGCGAATGCGCGCGCGCGCGCGTCGCTTTCAATGTGTTTCATATATATATATTATTTATTTATTTATTATTCATATAAATATATAATATAAATAATATATATTATTTTACAACGTTCCATGCTCAATTGCAATGAACAACAAAAACACCATAACGTTATTTAAACAATTCAAGTGCGATTCGCAACCGCTCTTGAAAAATTCTAGACAGAAAATGACACGAATAATCTCTAAATTTTGGCTTGATATATAATATAGTCCCTGAATTTTTTGTACATATTCAACTTAATTCTTGGACTATATGAAACACATGTAATGCTATCATTCCATAAATTCAAGTTCAAGAATAACATTTAACATTTTCATATAATTCATGAACTAATTTAAATATGTATCAAAGGTTTATAAATCACATCGAACAAATTAAAGGTTCAGAAATCACGTTGCACGTTGAGTTAAAGTTCATGAACCACATTGAACAAATTAAAATTTCATGAATTATTTGTGTCATTATCCCAATTTCAAAACCTCGAATTACAGAACTAAAGTTTAGGAACAATTTATATCAAAGCTCAAGTAATAATCGAATTATTACGGGGAAGAACGTGTTCACAGCCATAGCGGTTTTATCTTCGAAAGTCAAATGTGATCATACTTCTTCTGTTGTTGATTAAATAAAAGTCAAAATCTTATTAAATGTCAAGCATGATCTGGCATATCCAGAAACTCTCCATCTTCGAGTATAAATAATTCGTTTAATACGAAAAGAGAAGCTAAGTGCAGAGACAATTTCTTCGACAGCGGTTCCTTCGGCCGGCCGGCCGGCCGCCTTCGCCGGGAAGGCTCTCTCCATTAGTCAACATCATTTTGGAGCCGGACCAAAATGCAACCTCAATAGATGGCTCATTGAAAGAACGAGCTTCAGAGGATCGAGAGGAACGTGTACTTTTTTCCTTTCTTGGCGATAAGGATGGGGAGGGGCGATCTGCGCTTGGTCCCATAGCCTCTACAGAAAACGAAATTTCGGTTGCGTAAAATGCCCGCCGGATGGACCGACGCATCGATCGTTTCGGCGGGATGGAATTATACAAAAGCATCGAATCATCCGACCCCCGCCTTTGAGATCGAAACAGATCTTATGCTCTACTTTATTGAAAAAGTACAAACAAAATGAGAGGTTACACACATGCATGATCCTGTCCCTCTACAATCTGGCAGCAGGTTTCTTTGAGCCCCGTCCTGCTATGAATTCTTGCATCTTCTTGAACTGTTCCTTGGTCATCCCGTTGTAATATTCATGAGCCCTTTCCTGTTAAAGCGACGGAAACATGTGATCGCAAGGAAGTTCACGGCAAGAAGTACGTAAAAGGGTGTGCTTAGTTCGCCGGGGTTGAGTTGAGAGGCAAATAAGACTTGCTGGCAGTTGACTGACTGCTAGGGACAGACAAAAATGCCAGGGGGAATTAGTCACCATGCACCAACATCGGCGACTTTCTTTTTTCTCAGTTCTTTCATTTCGTAGCGCATTCAAACCGCAGAATCCCGATTCTGAACTGGGAGTTCTAATCTCGACCGGGGCACATGTGAAGAATTTAAGAAGGCTTCAACTTTAACAGAGGTACAAAGTGCCATAGTGCACATCAATAACAAAGTACAATCGAACGAAGAGGCCAAGAATAGAAAACCAGATTCGAGAAGGTGTGCAACAGTAACAAGGGCTATAGCACCGCTCACATTTGCCAGTTACGTGAAGAACTCACTGTTCCTCGCAACTTAGTCTTCAAATATTTCCTCTTCATTCTAGCTTGGGCAAAAGCCACTAAAAACCCCAAACTATAATCACCGTGACACATTTACTCTAAACTTTTTTCTTTGACACAAAAAATCCCAAACTTCTACCTATGTGACACATTTATCCTCCATCAAAGTTCCGTCAATGAGCACCGTTAAAAATTTGCCTACATGGACGCTGGAAAGCAAACGGTGTTGACATGGCCCCTACGTGGCTTAAGTATAACAAAAACGAGGTTTTTTTGGCCGAAAAATCATATAACAGAACCTTCACAGGAGGGAGGGGTTAAATGTGTCACATAGTTACAAATTAGGAGTTTTATATGTCACAAGAAAAAGTTTAAGGTAAATGTGTCACAATGGGCATAGTTTGGAGTTTTTGATGTCACAAAAAAAAAGGTTCAGGGTAAATGTGTCACAGAGAGTATAGTTTGAGGTTTTTGGTGGCTTTTTCCCTTCTAGTTTTATTAGCTAGTTTTGTAATTTGCAGAGACCAATAGACCTGAAGACCAGCTCTTTCTTAAATAGTATGTCTCCGACAAAAAAGCCTAATGGACTTGATACACACAAAAGATGCATCATAGAATTAATGGATCCAAAGATGCTGGAAACTGAAGAGCTGTAATTACCTTCTCCAATGCAAGAGCATGGCCTAGGTCCAGCTTGAAGCCATCGTTTATGACTGACTTGTACCTCAAAACCAGGTCATGGTTGTTCTTGATGATGGCCTCAGCAATTTCTCGTGCCTTCTTCAGCAACTGGCCTTCTTCAACCACATGGTTTACAAAGCCCAATCTCTCAGCCTGCTCGGCAGTAAGAGGCGTGGCTGTAAGAGAAACTTCGCGAGCTTTATTGGGTCCGATGATGCGCGCAAGCTTCTGAGAGAGACCCCACGAAGGAAAGATTCCGAACCTGCAACAGCACGCATTTGATACTTCAACCAATGAAGAAGCTTCTGTGAATTACTCAGAAAGTAGGCCACCGCAATGGATCGAGAACAAAAACATTGAAAAGAATACTCTGCTACGATGAAGGGGAAAACCACCGAGCGGTCTTTCTTTAGCCAAAGATCAGCAATCTATTTCCTCTCACAAAAATAGAAGTCCAAGCTCTTGGACCCCACTTCTATGTCCCTTGAGGAACCAATCTTTCATCGTAACTTGTCATACCCAAGTTCATCTTGTCACGATTCTTACACAAAGCCTTCGTACCGCACAAACAGCTATTCATTGAAAACTTCTAAGTGTTTGTGGAGAGCGACACTTCACATAGCAATTAAGATAGATTGAACTTCGATGCGACAAGCTACGAAAGAGAAATTGGTCTCTCGAAGAAACATGGAAAACCCCCATTCAAGGCATCAGTCCTTGGAGGACTATCATTTCTGAAAAACCCCATGTGTTTGGCATGTTGCCATGATTTACAAAACAAGCAAAGTGACCTCAGCACATCATCACTGAGTATCTATGCATTAACCTGACGTACCCCACAACCAGGGAGCACCATCAGATCCTATCAAACCGAGAAGCGAGGTAAGATAGCAGCCGCCCTACGAGTTGACGACAAAACTTCTTATCCGAGACACAAACCCGCAAGAACTTGTACACACGCGCATTATCAACAGCAATTCACATGAAGCCGAGTCTAATGACATAGACCACGAAGCGATCACACAATTGCCTGAAGCAAACTCGTTCTCACTCATTCACTTCCAGTCCCAGCTCAAATGAACAAAACGCTAAAAATCCGATGCAGGACGCAGAGCAGAGAAGGAGAGGAATCGCTTACCTGGCATGGGTATCGATGAACTTGGCTCCCTTAGCGGCCACCAAGATGTCGCAGGCGAGCGCGATCTCGAACCCAGCCGTCACCGCGAACCCACCGACCGCGCCGATGATCGGCTTCGGGCACCGCTCCATCTGGGCGACGGGGTCCGTCTCCGGGTCCTTGACGTCGCCCTTGAACACGTCCTCGGCCGCCGTGAGGTCCACGCCGGAGCAGAACGCGCGGCCCGACCCGGACAGCACGATGGCCCGCACCGACCCGTCGGCGCCCAGGCCCCGGAAGGCCCGGGCGAGGTCGACCATCATGGGGCGGGTCAGCGAGTTCAGGGACTTGGGCCGGTTGATCGTGACCGAGGCGACGCCGTCCGGGTCGCGCTTGACGAGAATCAAGGGTTGGGGATCGGCCATCGCCGCCTTCACCGGAAGGTGTTCGACGAAATGCTTGGCCTTCGGTGTGGGTGGTCGCCGGGAGACTGGAATCGGATGTCGGGAAGAAGGGGGACGAATGGATGGATTTTGTTCATACGATTTGCGGGCATTGATGTGCGTGCCGAGACTGACCCGTTGACTTATCCCTAAAATAAATTAATAATAACTCAAATAGATTTATAATAGTTTAATATAAAAAAATTTGACAAGTAAAGTTGAGAAAATCTGTAAATAATTTTTTTTTAAAGAAAGTTTGGTAATTTGTAGTTGATCAGATGGTAAGGGGTCCAAATTAAAGTTAGTCATTCCTTATGAAAGTTGATATTTTTTTATAAAAAAAAGGGGGTAATTTATTAGGATAACATAAGATAGAACTAGTGGGTACTCTCGAATAAAATTGGTGATTCCATTTAAGGGTCGGTGATTTTAATAAAAGTTGCCAAGTTATTGAAGAAGTTGGTTATTCGAATTCGATCAAATGGAGTGACTCAAATTAGAGCTGGTAACTTTATTGGAAAATAAGTGGGTAGTTCGATTTAAGAGTCCTAATTTGGACACGGTTAAATTAGATAAAATGTTCCGACCAAAAAAAATTAGATAAAACGTTAGCAAGCACCTCAAATAAAAGTTAATAACATAAAACCAATCGATACATTCATCAATAAAAAAAAGTTAGGTAATTTATAATCAATAAATCCAATATATTTGGTTTTGTAACTTGCATGAAAGCTGGTAAGTTGAAAAGAACTAGCTGATTAGTAACTCAAGTTGGTAATTTGGTACGGGGGATTTGGTAAATAACTTCAACAAAAGGTGAGAAGCGGAAAATCGCTCAAATAAATATCAATAACCTAACATTACTTTTTAACTCAGCCCAAAGTTGATACTTCTTTCAAATTAGGTTTGGTCATTTCACGCGACTCAATGTTAGTACGCTACCCGATATGTGATAAATAATCAAATAAAAGTTGATAATTTGATACGAAAGATGGGTAACTTGCCAACACGCAACTGTCTGTGGTGGCTCCGTTGATGTGTCCCTCTCGAACGGTATGCAAGCCCCACGTTCGCTACGACAATTTTCCTTGCACCCAGATCGTGAAGTCTCTGCAAAGCTGTAAAAGTTAACCCAATGAATGGCTGTCTACGAGAGAATGTGATTCTGGTGAAGGAAGAATTTTGACAGAATGACTCGATGCTGTATACTGTGTATGAAGTTAGAGTTGTTCATTTGTTCATGAAAATGCCGATGAATTCGGCGAAGGAACAATCGCCGCTCCTAGATGCAATCACGATGCTTTGCCATCGAGCATAAGATCAACCACAATACCCGGATTGGAGCCGGAGAAGAACAGTGATAATCTTCGATTTGACGAGTTAATAATGCTAAAATCTTGCTGTATGTTTTAAAACTGCAGTGAACGAATCGAGACCGTGATCTAACAGGGGACAAACGAAAGGTCAATGGCCAGCATTATAGATGAACAATAGAGTGATCTAAATTGCATCCGATGCAGGCTACGTTATTGAATAAACGCCGTTCACTTTGGGGCTCTGAGCCTATTGAATCGAGGGTGTGGGTAGCATTGAGTGTCACCGCCAAATCAGAATCAACCCGTGAAAAATAGAACTCAACTTAGAGTTCCAGTGCACATTATCTAATAAACCTCTAGGGTATGGCTAAGAATTCCACCGTCGATACTTAAAAGTGTCCGCCTTTCTCGCTCAAGAGTCGGGTTCGCATCCCTGCATTTGCTTATTCTCTTGGGACTGCCTAGGAGGCACGGATCTATGAAACTGTGCTCGACCGATTACCCGGCACGAGAAGGGACTCATTGAGGGAGTTTCGGATGACCCGGTTCCTTCACAAACCGAAAGAGAAATTGTTTACTTACACTCAACTGCCAGCGAAACCAACTCCCCTTCAACTTGCAGAATCGATCTTGGAAGTTGATGCAGATCACTCAAAAATGGAAGTCCCACCCATTACTGTATCCATGTCATTGAACTCAAAATAGTAAATCCTAACCGGAAACGCAGAAAGAAAGAAAAGAAGAAGAATAGAACAACTTCATAGTTAAAGCTGTGATGCAGTTCTTCGACCGACAGCAAAAGCTTGACTTGAGCAGCAACATTTAATGTATTGACTGCGTCTGTACTTTATGAATCATTGGCCATCCCAAGAAGGGTTGGTCTGGCGAGTTATTGCATCCAAGTGCAACCCCCCATCACTACATCATAACGATTGCTCACTACTTCATGCTGAGAGTTAGTAACGCTTACTAACAAGCTATCGAATAAGGAATTTACCGGTCACTTTTCTGTCATCAACCTTATTTGACATTCGCAACCGCTTTCGTAAATTTACGAGCATGGAATAGCGTTCTGTTTGCCATCGCACATTTGCTTTGATTCGTGGTCACAAGTTTATTCGAAATTTGGGTTACTTCGTCAAAGCCGTGGTTGAAGGACGACCAGGACATCTAAAGGGAGTTCAAAGTATATAATTCTGGTCTTCCAAAACTACTCAACAGAGAGTTGTATCCGAGTGCGAAAGGCATGTGGCCACTCTCGATGTTTACTCGAGTTACTTCTTAAACATCTCCTCTCACGGATTGTCTTGATCAACAAGTATCGATCAAAATGGGCACTTATAACAGCAATTTCTTGGTTCCATGAAGCAATGAACACAATCTGATGAAACACGCTGTCTTGAGCTTCCATGCACGAGACAAGAACATCTTTTTCCCCGGGTATCAAGTTACATATATCATGTGAAATGAATACTGTTGAATACCTGTGGACGATTTACCGTTTCCTCTATGTAAGCACAGTCCATACTCTTTCTCCAACCCAATTACGTGAAATCCGAATCGATCACTAGCTATATCCATATCCATATATGTCTTACTTTGCGCTACTTATTTGATCAGGATTCGACGAGTCGCCGAATGTTCATCGTCGTGATATCTTGAACTCCACCATCCATAAGACGCTTCGCGATTATGACGTTTGTAGCATCCGAAGGATGATATGGATCCCAGAAGACATACTTTGACCTGTCCTGACAAACACTAGAAAGCGGACTGCAAGGTATCAGACCCCCGAACTGACCCGCAGTGTAGCAGCATGCCGAATTTGGGTTTTCGAAACCTGCGAGAAAGGTTTTCGATCGAAATTAAGAACGGATGGTCGTCCATTAGCCAATCTTATGCAGACAAAGGAAGAAGTAATAAAGTAGTAGAGATTGCAATGCAGCACTGTACCGTATGAAATATAATTGTCGATAATGTCTTGTACGATGCGATACACGTCGGCATAAACGAATTTCGATCCTTCCAAACTTGAGCCGAGGTCTACAACAAGGCTTCTCAATTGGTTATTAAATAACTGAGCCATCTGATTCGGGAAGTCAATGCAACAATCTGTGTCAGCTCCATTGGTGTCCCTCTCGAATGGTGTGCAACCTATCGGCCCTACATTTGCTACGACGATTCTCCTCGCGCCCAGATCATAAAGTCTCTGCAAATAACATTAACCATCATTGTAAAGTATTATTACAAATATAACTTTCGGGAATTAGAATGCGCGAAATATACCAGAAGTTGCTGCCTATATCTGGAAATCATTGTGTTCACGAAAACTTCTGGAGATATCAATCTCTGCTCAGCTGCGGAGATCACTGGCGTCAAGTAGTTATTGATGAAATCATTCGATCCGATGGTGATCGAGAAGAGGGCTGTCTTGAACAGCTCCGTGGCTGCAGAAATGCCGATGCCCGAGATTATGTCTTGCCTTGTATTCTCGAAATTATCTAACTGCGCATCCCAGTTTATTCGATCGCCCTGTCATCCCGTTAAAAAGTGTATTACTTTATGTAATCAATTGCATATTAATGTTCGCCTTTTTTTTTGTATAATTGCTCTACTGCAGAACAAAGATTATCCATAATTGTGTCGCGGGTTTGATAAATACAATCACGATTCGAGAAGAAAACAATGCTTACGAAAATCTGTCCAGTGGAGTTAAGGATTCCGCCTCCACCAGAAGCATAGTTGACCCCCTGCAAGACGACGGGCCAAACCGTCGTCGGAGCCAGGTATGGAGGAGTATAATCCTCGAAACCCAACTCTTCGCCTGCGAGAGGAAAAACGATGAGTAGTTCAGAATACGATAAGCAGAGAATCCAGCGTTGTGTTTACAGTCTGGCGAGAACTTGCCTATGATGTCGATGATTGTTCTTCCGTTTGTGAACCGTCCCGTTGGGCCGCCAAAGTCGATCCCATTGGGGATGAAGTTAGCCTTCGAAAGCGACGGGATGTAGTTGTTGTTTCCAGCTTCAACCAAGGAATCTCCGAAAACGAAATTTGCAGGAACGCTCTTGGCAAAGCAACTTCGGAGCAGGACCAAGAGAATCAAAGTTGTAGAAGTTAACCCAATGAATGGCTGTCTAGCAGAGAATCTACTCATTGTCAAGAAGAAAAGCAGAAATGCAAAGTACACTGGAATTTCTTTGCTATATCAATGTGAACTGGTACGTCCCTATGCTCTCTGTTCTCTCACTGAATTCGAAGCCAAAGAATTTGGCAGAGCAAGTGGCCAAAAGAATGTGATTCTGGTACAGGAAGAAATTGACTGAATGACTCAATGATGAATACTGTGAAAGAATCCAGAAAAGTTGTTCATTTCTTCACGAAAATGTCCGATGAATTCGACCACCGCTCCTAGACACGGTCACGGCGCTTCGCAACCGAAGATGAGAACAACCAACCCAGAGTGGAGCAGGAAAAGAACAACAACGATCTTTGGTTTAACAAGTCACTAATGCTAAAAACTTGCAGTGTCTGTAAAAACGGGTCCAAAGAACGAACAAGTATGCCCAGAGAGCCTGAGGAAAAGAAGGGTCTATAATGCAGAGAACGAATCAAGGCTGATTTGACATGGGACAAATGAAAGGTCAACGACTACCGTGTAGCTGAACGATGAGTGATCTAGATTCTATCTCGTGTATGCTATGGTTGAAAGATGAAGTACCCTTTGCTCTGGGGCGTGCAACATTGAACGTCGCTGCGAAATCAGCACCAACCCGTGAAAATAAAACTCGCACTAGAGTTCCAACGCACGAAATTCTATTAACCACTTGGGTCATGGCTAAGAAACTGTGCTCGGATCGATTGCGTGGCATGAGAAGGGACCGGTCGAGGGACTTTGCGGATGACGCGGGATCAGCATTATTAAATGAACACGAGGAAGAAGAACTGTGAAGTCCGTGTTCCTTCACGAATCAGAAGATACTCTGTTTACTTCACTCAACTGCCAACGAACCCAACTCTCACCTTCACCTTGCAGAGTCGATCTTGGAAGTTAATGGGCATCGCTTGAAATGGCAAGTCCCGCCCATTACTGCATTCGTGCAGTTGGACTTAAAATAGTAAATCCTGACCCGAAACACAGAAGAAAAAAAGCGGAAAGGAGGAGGATAAGGGTGCACATGAATACCATTCTGTGCCCGGGAACTATTTCTGAACAGAAATGATTTTTTTTTATTCTGTGCCCGGAAACAATTTCTAAGTATTTGAAGGCGTTTGATAAACTGTCCAAAATTTCTATTCCTAGAGTAGAAAAGAACAGAAATGCGTTTGGTAACTACACAAAATTTCTGTTCCCGAATAATATTTTAATAATATTTTGAATTGTTTAATCTTTTTTTCTTTCTACCATTTTCTTCTTTGGCCATGGCCGGTCGCAGCGACCGGCCACAGCTCCGAGGGCGGCCGAGGGCGTCACGGCCCTCGTCGGCCGCCGGCGGAGGCGAGGGTCGTCCTCGCCGGCGAGGGCGAGGGCTGGACCCTCGCCATCTTTGGGCGAGGCCGACCTCGCCGTCGCAACCGACGGCGAGGCTCGGCCTCGCCCTCGCCGGCCCAGCCCAGGAAGAACAACACAAAAATAAGAAAAGAAAAAAAAAAAAAGAAGAAAAAAAACTGATTCTCAAAATTGTGCCGAGAAATAAGAAGCAATTTTTTTTTACTTCTTGTTTCTCTTCCAAAACTGTTTCTCGGCACAAATTTTTGCAAAAATGTGCCCGGGAACAAAAAGTTTACCAAACGCATTTATGTTCCCAAACTATTTCTGGGAACAAAAAAACAGAAATTTTCACTGTTTGGTACATTACCAAACGGGCCCTAAGACAGCTGCATCGTTAAAGCTGTGTTGCTGTCCTTCAACCAACAGTAACAGCTTGGCTTGAGCGGCAACATTGAATGTGTTGACCGCGGGTGTAGTTCATAATTCATTGGCCATCGCTAGATGGGTTTGGTTTTGAGAGTTATTGCGTGCACGTGCTAGCCCATCACTGCTACATCATAATGATTGCTCTCCAATTCATGGTGATATTGTTTTTTTTTCCCCTCTTGAATTTTCCAAAAAATGTGAACTGTGACAGTGACCGGGTCCCGTGGACAAGCACCCTTGGACATGTAGTTGATTATGCACATAACGAGGACGGTCGCCGTGTCGAAAATTTGCAATCTTTCTATATTTGATTGCTTAACAAGCGTTTCGGATCATTATTTTTAAAAAAAGAAATATATACAAGCAAACTTAAGGGGCATATAGTTGCCTGGGGGCCCCGAGCCACCCCCAGGTCCTGTCATCAATGGAGATGGACTTTGCTCTCGTCCAAAGATTAGAGAACGTTTTGACTGACGAGCGTATTATTGGGTATTTGAATTGAGCATGTTAGGGTTTGCATCATGATCACGTGAAAATTCGCTCCATTAATTATATTTCATGACAAAGTTTAGTATTACCAAGAACTTACAATCATCCCCTAATTAGTCATTAATCATTGTCCCTGTCCTGGGGGCATATGGAAAACAAAAGAAGAAGGAATCGCGTGCACACATAAATCGAATTTTTTATATAATATTAAAAGTTATATATCGTGTGGATTGTGTTTATTGATAAAGATAAGGATGATAAAATCCAGTTTTGGAAGTCTATCTTGTATAATGAAAGCTATAACTAAATTATGCCTATCGGTTGACACTAGATTGAGAATAATCGAACACCTATGTCTCTATTTCACTCCTATTAACGAGATAATATAACCGAGTAAAAGAGAAAAAGAAATTAAGAATTTGCTATAAAGTAAAAACTTCTTTAAAGATGCATTATGACAATGTGTAGAAACTTGGTCTGTGGCTACAAAATGTCTGAATTGGTAATCAGGACGGTGCGAGCTCATTGAAGCTAAAAATTGTTAGAAGACTACTCAGTAGAAAGGCAAGCAAGATACTACAAGTTGCTGGACTTCACAGCTTAAGATCCACCTCAGAGGCCCGCCGCCGCCGCCACTAGCATCGCCGCCCGCGCCTCCTCCACTTCCATAGCTACCGCTTACACCACCACTGGCAACCACCTCCGCCACAAGAAACTGCCGCCGACAGCCCCCCCGCCTATTCTTCCAAAGCCATAACTTGCACCACCACCACCACCACCACCAAAATCCTCCACCACCTTTCCCATCACCAATGCCACATTTGAATCCTTCTCCTCCAGCACCGCCTCTGCCACCTCCTATGCCTCCACCGAAACTAGCACTGCCGCCACCGACTTCTCCCCCGACACCACCACCTTCCCCGTCACTTTGCCACCTCCTAGGCCGCTGCCAACACTCCTATCTGCATCACTTCCAACCCAAAGAACCTCCAGCACCATTGCCTTACCAGGTTCAATTCCAACTCAACCCACCTTTTCGCCCTCCAAAATCCTACACCTTCTTCTCTGCGTCCAAAAGCCACTGCCAACCCCTTCTCTACTACCACCACCTTTGCCACCGCCGGCTCCAACAACACCTTTTCCGCTCCCAAAACCACCAGCACCACCTCCAACTCCTACACGGTCACTTTTTCCATGTCCGAAAGGCATCAGTGACTCCTCCAGCACCACCACCTTGGCCACATCCCACTCGTGGGACACCACATTTTCCTCCAACCCAGCCCACCCCAGCTCCTCCAGCTCCAGCTCCGCCAAATCCTCATCCACCCACTACCACCACCAGTTCCTACCCCAACTCCAAAGCCACCACCAACTCCTAGATCGGCAACCTGATCAAATACTCCTCCAGCTCTGCCATTCGATCTTGCTCCACCATCCTTATCAAATGCTCCACCTACAACTACACCACCTCCTTCAGCACCACCACCCAAGCGTCCTCCAGTGTTATCAGACAACATATATATTAGTCATAGACCACACAGACTACTCCATGGATGCGTGTGTTAAGGCCTCAATGTGACTTTCCTAATTGGAGAACATCAAGTTGTTAGATGCAATTAAACTTAAGATGACAGGGTCTTTTTTCAAAATTAACGATTAATTCCAACCCAGTTCTCGGTAAACAAGCCACCGGGTTGGGGGCGGGGGGCTGAAATTTGAGAACAAGTCCGCCAGACCTTCCAGGATCAAAATCTAGAAGGTACTGGAAAGCAAAGAAGAAATGGTGATCACCTTTTCCTCATGCAAACAAAAAACTGATAATAGACTTTCCACTTGAAACATAAACAAAAGGGATGGCCAGTCTAATGGGAAAATTGTCAAAAAGTACTAAACCTATTGCACTTTTGCCAATTCAATCATAAACCTTTTAAGTTTGCCAATTCAGTACTCAACATTTTCACTTCTTGTCAATTCAGTCCTAAATCTTTTGACTTCTTGCCAATTGAGTCCATCCGGCCAATTTTGGCCGGCCGGCGCTAACGTGGTGGCTAGCAATCTGGCCAACGCTAACATGGCAATTTTTAAATATTTTTTTCGAATTTTTTAATATTTTTTTCTTTTCTTTTTTTTTTCAGCCCTTCTTCCCTATGGCCGGTCCGGCGACCGGCCAGAGGCGTGAGCTGGCGAGGTCGACCTCGCCGGCCTCTGGTGAAGCTTGCCCTCGCCGGCCACTGGCGAGGGTGAGCCTCACCGCCGCTACCTGGGCGAGATCGGTCTTGCCATGGCTGGTCGAGGCTCGACCTCGCGAGTCGCTGGCCGGCCTTGCCTTGGCTAGGCGAAGTCGAGCGTCGACCAACTATGGCGAGGCCAGCCAGCACCATTGCAGGTCGGCCTCGCCTTGGTTGGGCGAGGTCGACCTGGCAGCGGTGGGTGAGGCTTGCCCTCGCCAGTGGCCGGCGGGGGCAAGCTTCGCCAGAGGGAAGAAGGGAGAAAAAAAAAAAGATCAAAAAATTTAAAAAAATATATTAAAAAATTACCACGTCAGTGTTGATTGGACGACCGGCGGCCACGTCGGCGCCGACCGGCAGACACGTCAGCGCCGGACAACCAAAATTGATCGGATGGACTCAATTAGCAAGAAGTGAAAAGATTTAGGACTGAATTGATAAATTTAAAAGGTTTAGGATTGAATTGGCAAAAGTACAATAAGTTTAGGATTTTTTGGACAATTTTCCCCCAGCCTAACAGCAAGTGAACCAGAGAAAGAAGCCGAGCAAGTACACACCTTGATAATGTTCAACCGGTCCCAACATGAACGAATCAATCATTGCACCCTCAAAGCTTGGATTGATTTACCGATGCAAGTACCGATGCCCAGCCAGTACATCAAGACTGCCTGACGCTTCAATGGCATAATGAATCGGTACCCACTTCACGAATTTCATCACTACCTTTGCAAGCCCTTTCACATGCATAATTTATGTATAAGGTACCAAAAACTTTTCAAACATAAGGCATGAGGACGATTAGTTAACTTCACAGACAAGGCCTTCGTATTAACTCCTGACCAATCAAAGAGGAAACATCTATGGATCAGATTGTCTCGCCCAAGACCTCCTCTTTCCTAAAAGCTAGACTGTTGGCTTTATTACATGATATATTACAAGCTATAACTTAGAGGGTAATGCTGAGGAGATACTGTTACAATCATTGTTGACTCTGTGACACCGTATAGACCATATGTATCTATGACACATGCTTACAGTGGGAGCACGTCGCAGCTCAACTGTCCATACGACGCATTTCAATCATGAATCTACATTGGAGACAGCTTTTCCCAAAGGCAGCCTTGATTACACAGCAATCAGGTAGCACTTCTTGGTCTCAAAGGCGCACCATACTGTTGCATTAGGGTAGGAGGTCTAAAGAGATCTGAGGTTACATCTCTGGCTAAAAGATCATCGTCCAACTCTTGAGAAGTTGATATTAAAGTTGGGAACTTTAAGAAGTGACATATCCCAAAATCAGTCGTGGAAGTTGATTGATCGAGTACCCATTTGCAGAATTCAATGCCAGGTTCGGTCCATCCATGTGTTAGTCAAGAACTTATACTTAGCATATGCCCTTGGAGAGACAAAGGGAAGAGGGACTGGTTGAAGTTGAGAAACATTTGAACTATGATTTTGAGGTCCAGAAAGCTAGTCAATATCCTTTGATCTCTGAGGCATGGGGAGTTCAAGAGTAATGATGAAATAACATCTTTCAGACTCTCTAATATATTGCACTTCACCATTCATGAGCTTTAAAATCTTCCTGCACATGCTCAGCCCCAAACCTTCCTCGGTCATCCACCGACTGCTATGGAACATGTCTTGAACCAGCTCAGGAGGTAGACCTTCACCAGGACACACAATCCTTCATAAAGGGAACAAATGATATAATTAGATTTGCATTCATCATACATGCCACATTATCCAATCTGTAGGTAAAGGTACAAGAAGTCCACACAGCTTTTGCCTGCGTGCACTATCGTACGCTTCTAATTTCTGAATAGACATATGCAGCTAATTTTTTACTGAGGCTAATTTGCTCATGAGGTCTACGAGTATGGGGACCGATCAGTGCATTCTCAAAGCAGCCGAAGAGGCATGCATAGTGATATAGCAGGATTACATAATTACCGATATTGAGAAAACTATCAAGAAAATTAGCATTTACTTTCATTATAGGCCAACTATACTGAAAAGTTTGAAAGCTTGAGAAGCTTCTGTAAGTCCCCCTATAACAAAATAGGCCATCATTTCCCCAGATTACATCCAAGACAGGACTTAGACAAGAGTTCTTTAACATCTGGTGTATGTCAAGGAAATTTAATACCAGGTAAAGAAATATAAAGCTATCCAATGGAGCATGTATATCAAAGTATATGATTTTCCCTTAATTTTGACTATGGCATAATTCAATATAACTGAGCAAAAGAAGATATATGAGCAACACATCATTTATCTATCAAGTAAATAATAAAATTTATAAATTTATTTCCCATGACTTCACTGCCCAGCTTGCCTCCTTGTTAAACAGAAGTTTGTAGAAATCTGAAAAATAGAATACACAGTATAATACAATACTTTTGAAAACCAGAAAGGCCACAAATCGCCTCAAGCAAGCTTGTAGTGGTCGAAACAAATTTGTTTGAAACAAGACGCAGTTTCAATCTCCACATCTGGTGATGATTCTCCAAAGACATTGGACAGTCATTCGATAAACACACATATTGATTGAGAGAAACAGAACCTTAAAATTTGTCAGTATCCCACACTGACAATCCATGATAACAGCAATCGATCATTCTATGATAACAGCAATCCATCATTCTAGCATCTAATTCATGCATCAAATCTGATAACCATAAGTTTTCTGGAACTAATTAACCCTCAAGAGCTCTGAAGAGTTAACAGAGATGAAATTTTGGAAAGAAAGCCGTATCAGGAAACCATCTCAGAATAGGACAATGCATTATCCACAGAACATACTCAAAACAGATAGGAACCTATAAAAAGAATACCTAAATTCGTTGTGCACAAGGGTTAGTCCTCCAGCAGTTTGCTTCCGACTTGGATGAACGTGAATCTCCACCCAACCCTCTGGAGATGGAGCATTTCTCACCATATTTAACAAGAAATCAGCCAATACTTGTTGAATTCTCAACTGATCACCACAGACAGCCAGAGTTTTAATTTCATCTGGAATATCACGAATCAATTGCAAACCTCGTTCTCTCAGCAATATCATTACTTGGCTAACAACAGCATTCATAACACTTCCAAGAAAGAATTCGGCCATCTCAAGCTCCAATGAACTAATTAGAAGAAAAGAATCGATTAGACCACGTTTTCACCAATAGCAGAATTGTGCTAAGCAAATAGGTGAGAGACTAAAATTCTTTGTGCCACAGCAGTTTAGACGCAGGAAACACTGTTACTCTTGAGTTAATTTTCTTCATGTCAGCGAAGAAAGATAAGATTGTTAAACGACTATTTGTTCGGACTGCTTCAAAGCAGCCAAGCCAACGAGACCAAAATATTTTTAAAACACATCTATGGACACAAGAAACTGGCTAGATAACAATAAGAGGGAGTGTAAAGATTCATTGTACTTGGTTTGTACTCCAAGTCACACTTGCGTATTGGGAATTGGGAATTAAGTGAATAGGTCATCTTAAATAAGTCAGCCGCACGTACATGAGTCAGTAGCGTGAGGCTTAGCTTAGAGCTAGGTAAAAAAAGGAAGAAGAAAGCAGTCAAAATTTTTCAAAAACATTACTTTTTCCATTGTATTTGAAATGTTATGGAGAAGAATGAAAGCACATGGCCAAAGTTCATCACCGTCAATAATGCATTGATATTTTATATAAAGTCAGCGACTATTTCCAGTTTAGACTCCAAAAATCAGTCCTGTTCAAAAAATATTCATAAACAAAATTTACATTCCAAACCTTCCAAGTATAAGACGAAAGGAGCGTGTCCCCAGAAAAAAGCAGCAGCAATTCAAAGCAAATAGCTTCATGCATTAGCTTTTCATAGGAAAAACCAAAACCTCAATGATTTATTCAAAAGGATCAAACAAACTCACCCATCTTCAATGCTTCGCAAATCAGCATCATTTATTATCTTCATCATCTGCTTCTCACAAGCAGCACTAGTCTCAAGAAACTGCTTTTGATCCTCAGTCAAGCCTGTGGCCTCCAAGAGTGAGTGAGTAAAACGTATGCCACTTAAAGGATTTCTTATTTCTTGACACATATAAGCCAACTCTTTCATTCTTGAAAAACTTTTCTTGTCCTGCTGCCTCTGAACTTTCAGAGCTTGCTGAAGCTCAGGACTTGCAATTTGCAAAAAGCAGAAGGCTCCAATAATCTTCCCATCCATGCTGACCCGCTTATTAGCAGTCAAGAGCACTTGCACATATTTACCATGTCGGTCAAAGAAAGTGAAAGGAAACTTGTCTGCATCCTGAC